AAATTAATATTTAACAGGTAAGGAAAAGAAGAGAAACTATCAATGGTGACAAATACAATGGTGAGAAAATTAGAAGGGTGAACAGGTCCTAGAATGAAAGGAAACAGAGAGTTTCAAACAACAGAGTTAAATACCATGAATAGCAGGACAAAAACATTACTTAAACAAAATGGCAAAGATAATTGGTGAATTTTTCTTACATATTTTATGTGAAGTGGTAGGGAAAAAATCTAATTGCTCTCCTAGAGTGAAGAGCAAAAATCTTAATACAGTAGAGTAAAAAGCAAATAAAAAATGGAGAAGTAACCATAGCCAATAAAGCCTGCTTTAACAAGATTATATTTTTTGTGGAGAAAAAATTTTAGACTTGGAGTATTCTTTTAATGATAGAAATTCAAATATAGGTTGTGAGGAAGGAGTTAGTGGAAACTAAAGGGCAAAGAAGGAAACTACAATAGCCATGTCCAATAGGTTGAGGATCAGGTCACTCTTCTGCCCACCACCATTGGAAGAATTAACTTTGAATATAAGGCATCATTTTTTTTCATTGTAACCACTTGTTTATGGGGACACCACTTCAAGAAGATAGATGGATGATGAAAAGCATATGAAAAGGCGCTCCACATTACATGTCAACAGGGAAAAAATACAAATTAAAACAACAATGAGATTCTACTATACACCTAATAGAAATGGTCAAAGTCCAGAATACTGACATCACCAAATGATGGCAAGGATGTGGAGCATCAGGAACTCTCATTCTTTATTGGTAGGAATACAAAATGGTAGTTTGGTAGTTTCTTAACAAAATTAAACATACTCCTACCATATAACCCAGCAATCACACTCCTTAGTATCTACCCTAAAGTGAAAACTTATGTCCACACAAAAACCTCCACATGCACATTTACAGCAGCTTATTCATAACTGTCAAAACTGGGAAGCAACCAAGTTGTCCTGCAGGAAGTAAATAAGTAAGTAAACTATGTCACATCCAGACAATGGAATATTATTCAGCACTAAAAAGAAATGAGCTATCTGGCCATGGAAGACATGGAGGAATCTTAAATGCATATTACTAAGTGAAAGAAGCCATACTGTATGATTCCAACTATATGACATTCTGGAAAAGGCAAAAGGTATGGAGACAGTAAAAAGATAAGTGGTATCCAGAAGTTAGGGGGTAGAAGGTATGGATAGGTGGGGCACGGAGGTGTTTTAGGGCATTGAAAATAGTCTGTAAGATACTTCAATGATGGATACATGCCCTTACACATTTTCCAAACCCATGGAATGTATGACACCAAGAGTGAACTCTCATGTAAACTGTAGACTTTACATGATTAGGATATGTCAATGTAGGTTCATCAATTGTAGAAATGTACCATTTTGGTAGAAGATGCTGATAATAGGGAATGCTATGCATATCTAGGAGCAGGGAAATTTATGGGAAATTTCTACATTTTCTCTTAGTTTTGTTGTGAATCTCAAACTGCTCTAAAAGAATAAAATCTTAATACAACTTTTTATGTGAATAAATCTTACATATGATGTGTCTCAAGATTATGAAATAAAAAGATACCTATCTCTACATTGAAAATGCAAAGAAATCATAAAAACTCTTAATGGTGAAATTACATTTTTAAGGGTTGCTGTTACAGTTTTGATGATGGCACTAAGGAGCAGTGGAAGACTTCTTACAGTCCTTAAAAATCATATCAATTATATGATCACATACTATACCTATATATAAAATCTTTCCCTAGTAGGCCATTTACTAGCCAAATGTCCTGGTTTATCATTTCCAACATTTCAGTCCTTCACTTTCTTTTAAACTCATACATTTAAAATCTCTATGCCTCTGATACTAAGGGAAAATATGCCTCCTTTTAAATCCCTAAAAAATTCTCTGAATGCAGTTTCAAATGCTAAGACTGACAAAAATCCCAGAAAGTGAAGGCACTGACTGCTTAACTAACCCAAATTCTGCCCTTTAGATAATACACTACTGGAACAAAGGTGATAAAGAATGTCTAATTCATAGATACATGATATAGCAGTTAAGAAAGCAAGTATCTATTAAAATGTGGCTATTGTTTGTGATTAATGAAAGATAGGAAAGGCTGATTGCTTGATTCTTGGCCTCAAATGTTCTAGATCTCAGTGAACTTATCCTGGTCCTCTTAAGTCTGATTTTCAATGACCTCCTGCCTTGTCATTTTCTGATTTTTCTTCCCTAACAATCTAAGTTTATGATATTTAGGAGTAATGATACTTGGGAGTTTATGCTCCTTACCTTTTCTGTATATATTGTAATAACTGTTGGGGTCTCTCACCCTAGTCAGACTGTATTTCAGAAAACCTGCCTATTAGATAGGCAATGGAGGTACAGGACTTAATGTATTTTGTGAAAAGGTCAAGAATTCAGTATATACATATTTTCAGTTTGTAGGAATGCAGATGATGGAATCCATGAGCCTAGTATAGTAGTATCAACCATAAACTGTGTAATAGTTTGAATACTAGCTGATCAAAACCTATTTCAAAATGAACTGTAAAAGAACAGCTTTCTGTGCTAAACAAACATGTATGTAGCACCTACTATGTGCTAGGTATTGTTCTTAGCACTTTTCAGCTACTAACTTATTTAATCATTGTAACTACAGAATGAGTTACATACTGTTATTAATAACAGTACTGTTATTATCACTATGCATGAGATAAATGAGGCGAAGAGAATTTGCCCAAGGTTACATAGTCATGATGTACCAACACCGAGAATCATGCACAGATAATTTGACTCAAAGATGGTGAGCTTAAATACACTATGCTAAGTCTTTGTTATAACATCACACAGAAGTCCTTGAGGAAGTAACACAGAGAAGCCTTGAGAGGGGAGCCTCCTAGGGCTTGACTAGGGAGATCTGACTAAAGCTTTCACCTCTTTTAGGAGGGTCTTCTCTTTCAATTTTTGATGCCAACCTCTATGCCATTCTCTAAAACTCTGCCCAACAATAACCAGTATCAAACCTTTCTCTGCTTCCGCTTGGATAGCTGTGACTAGCATTGTCACAATGAGCGCCAGGTGATGTATGACATTGTGGAATCACTATATTGCACCCCTAAAACTAATGTAACACTGTATGTTAACTATACTGGAATTAAAATGAAATGAAATGAAATGAAATGAAATGAAATGAAATGAACTGAAATGAAATGAAATAAAATAAAATAAATCCATCATGAACAAGACATTAATAAAGATGGCAAAAGATCAGACAATTACAGTTCCCTGGCAAATGATATCTACTGATTAAAATGAAATTAAAACATACAAAAGATAAAAAAGGAAAAACATATAAAGATAATTTGTATACCAAGGATAAAAAAGGAAATATATTTAAAAGAAATAACCCTTAAAAACATAAATACAAAGCTGATAAGTACACATCTCTGATTCAATGACTGACTTGTTTACCAGCTTCATAGACCATGTTGCATCCAATATTTATTTATTTAACCAGACTCTGACTCCAAAGAACTGCAAGTCTACCCTGCTACCTTACTGAAGGGTATTCCTTCAATTTGTCAATTGTCTATTTATGGCCTCCTAAGAATAAAAAGAAAAATTATCACTCACCTACAAAGTTCCACCCAGTTTCCAATACATGTTTTGAGAAATACTTGCCTAGCAGTACTGTACCCATATGAAATACCACCATTTACCTAAGTTGAAGTATGCTGTCCACAATATAATAATATACAGTAACCATGCAAGGAGGTTTTTTGTGTATAGTAACAGCAAGATTTTCCTACTAAAAACTATTTCCATAATTAGATAAGAAAAATATATTTTGAATTTTCCTCTTCCTATTTATTAAGTTAAAATATATTCCAATGAAAAAATGCCAAGTAGTAATCTCCCAGGCTACAATTTTCTGAAGAAAATGGTCACTCAGTATTCACAATCAGAAGGCAAAATTTACATCTGCTAATGAATGTGTTACATTTTTATTAAATGGGTTCTACACAAATATTTTATATTAAAGTCTGTAGTAATGAAGATAAATCTACAAACTGCATCAGTTAAAAGAAATGAGACATCACCATCGTCTCTAAGGGATATTTAACATTATATAATTCTCAATCTATTTTTGCCTTTATGGAATTGGATAAGATAAGCAATAGTTTGGCACCAATTCATCAAACAGAAGGGCAAATTTTCACTATAATATCTTATTTATGTATTTAACAAGACTTTTATAGCTATCTAAGAGGTGACATTTTACTTTTGCATAGCTTAGCAATGCATTAATAGGCTTCATTTTACTTTTTAAATGTAAACTATATTTCACAATACTTTATAATAAAAGAGTACAAATAATTTAAAACTCTCAGCGCATGCATTAAAATAACCTTCACATTTAAATTTAATATTCTGTTGGTTTCAACCCCAAAACTGGAGAGAATGTGAGAGGTGAAATGTGGACAAACCAAAAAATACCTTCCCTTAAAGACAAATGTCAAGGAAAACTAGAACTTTTCTGCAAAACAATAGCACAATGACTTTAAAAGTTCTGTCTGAAAGCCCCACCGCTCCCCAACACACATAGTAAACTTGATGGTCCTAAATTGATGTGCCTTAAAATGGATAAGGGTGAAGCAAAGAACAAGTTTTGCTTATAAATTCTTGGGTAGCCTTAAACTGCTTTAACCTCCTAAGGACAGACTAAGGTTCGGGAAAATTTTCAGGGTCTCAGACCAGCACTGGGATTTGCATGTCATGGGTCAACGTGAATTCTGAGGAATAAACACTTTCTTTGCAGGCAGATGAAAAGCAATTATGCTGAGAAGAAAGAGAAACTTTCTTCTTCATTGCTATCAAAGACAAAAAACACTGTTGCTACAGGATTTTGTATATCTTTTTAAAAAACAATTTAGAATAAAGGGACCAAAAGGGTTGAAAACAGGATTTCCAAATGCAAAATGTGTAGACTTACTGGTACATGCCATAGAAGGTGGGTCTTTTTCAGCTCGGAAGTAACCTTTTTCACACTGACAGACAGAAGTTGCTTCCATGTAAGTTAAACTGTGTGGAGGGCATTTAGAACATTTTGTGTTCCCAGCAAATGCTTTATAGAATCCTGGTCTGCAAGCTGTAAAAACAGGAAAAATAATTTTTGTTATTATTTCCAGAGTTCATTTGCACATGTACAACATACTTTAATTTATACACACTTTAATCTCAGAGTTCTGGGTCACACATATACAGAAGAGTCAATATATGGTAACATTTAATGAAATTAGTTATTCAAAATTAGTAATATAATGGTAACTTCACATTTCAGCTCAGGATGCTAATTTTAGAAAGCATACCTGAAACAAACATATACAAAATAAACTGTCTACCAGAGCATAGGGATGCCCTTAAACTGGCAGTAAGGGAAATGATTTTGTGTAGTTCTCAGAGATAGCACTAAATAACATTGAATCACACTGTTTAAAATGTATTTGCATTCTGTTTCTTCTTCAGTCCTTCTGAGTACTAAAGGAAAAAGTCCTAGTGTGGTGCTGGTATATCTTAACACGTGCCCTATCGGTGCTTTTTATTTTTTTAACAAAAGGAAAGCTGGCCTTATGTTCAGAGTTTAGCAAGATCTACGTATAGTTTGATAACATTGTTTTATTTTTATCATGTTTGTTTTTATTTTTTTTTTTAATGTTTATTTATTTTTGAGACAGAAAGACACAGCATGAGCAGGTAAGGGGCAGAGAGAGAGGGAGGCACAGAATGTGAAGCAGGCTCCAGGCTCTGAGGTGTCAGCACAGAGCCCGATGTGGGGCTCGAACCCACGAACTGTGAGATCATGACCTGAGCCGAAGTCAGACGCTTAACCGACTGAGCCACCCAGGCGCCCCATGTTTGTTTTTATTTTTTATGGCAAAATTTTTTTTCTGTTTATTATACTGAAATACATTCATTTAAAAATTTTGAACTAATTTCGAAAGTAGGTAGACAAAATATTGAGTAAATAAAGTATATGTACTATACACATATGGCAAGAACCATGAAAATGTAACCAAATGAGTAAATTAAAAAATTTTTTTACATTTATTTATTATTGAGAGACAGAGAGAGACAGAGCACAAGCAGGGGAGGGGCCGAGAGACGGGGAGACACAGAATGTGAAGCAGGCTCGAGGCTCCAAGCTGTCAGCACAGAGCCCAATGTGGGGCTCGAACTCACGGACTGTGAGATCATGACCTGAGCTAAAGTCAGACGCTCAACCGACTGAGCCACCCAGGTGCCCCCAAATAAGTAAATTAAAAAAAAATCACTATGTGATGAAATGTTCTATTGGACCTCATTCGCTCTTTGCTTATTAAATCCATGTTGTCGTTTACAGTGTACATGTTCACAGGAATGGAGGCTCTAAAAAAAGGATTCTATGCTAAGTATGCAGCCAAGGTCCTGAAGGAGGAGCGGGTAGTCTTAGTTGTTTCTGGTCTCAAACAAACCACGGCTGATTAGTTTCTAAATTAACACTGTTAGGGGCACCTGGGTGGTTCAGTCGGTTGAGCCTCCAGCTTAGGCTCAGGTCATGACATTGCGGTTTATGAGTTCAAGCCCCACATCAGGCTCTCTGCTGTCAGCACAGAGTCCCTTCGGATCTTCTATACCCCTCTCTCTGCCCCTTCCCTGCTTGTGATCTTTCAAAATTAAACATTAAAATATTTATATATAAACACTGCTAAACAAAATAAAGTAAGAATAATGTATTATGTGTTTTAAAAATGTTTTAAAACTTTTTTTAATTCAATTCATTTTCACAAAATCCTCTTTTTAGAAATACACAAGAATCTTAACAATAATCTCTTAATAAGGTTTCCGCTTATATATTCAGGAGAGAAAGAAAAAAATGCCACTTATTTTTTTTAGGTAAATTTAATGAATCCCCCCAAAAAAACTATGTGTCTTTCTCTAGGTACATTTTGATGAATATTCCTACAGATCTAAATGACTGCAATTCAACTTATACCAGTAGTATACTATGCACCAGTGACTCATCCTCTAGGAGGGCATAAACCACAAGATGTGCATGTACATGCACACACACACGCATTTGCTGTAAATGGATTATTTTGGATAGTTAATGTTTCCTTTTATAATAACATTTATCATAAATTACCTAGCAATTCAATAGAAGTAAAATGATCAATTCTGTACAGTAAAATTACTATTAAAAATTTGGTTATTCACTATCAATGAAGCTCTAAGTGGTGATACATAATAAATATCAACCACAGTCCATTCTCTAACTAGCTGATAAATTAATACTATGTCACTAATCAATAAAAACACCGTATCATTAAAATATTTCTCTAAGCCTGTCAAAATTTAGACTATGTAAATAATGTATAATTAACCCTGGATCCAGCTTGAGGGTTAA